AAGGTCCCGTCCCTCAAGTTCTCATGGCAGTTGTCCAGGATGTGAGGGTTCCCTGATCCATATAAATCTGTTCGCTGTGCTGGGGCTCAAGTGGTGGTGGGGGCTCCAAAACTCTGCCACTCCATCAAGGCAAGAGACACAGCTCCTGATGAGCATAGGTAGGGGGCGACTCTCCCGCCGGGGCTGCAGGGAGAGCGCCATTCCCGAGGCTGCCAAGCTCCATTTGCCAGAGCACAGTCCCTCGGTCATCCTGGGTCCCGGGAGGGTCCTCGTGTCCCTTTCCCACTTGGGGACACCTGAGAACCAGCCTGCCTGGCAACAGGATAGGTTCAGCTGGGATTGGCTGGGCCCCAACATACTCCAGGTGCCTAAGGACAGCCTCAAGAACCCACACATCCACCTCAAAGCCCTTCTAACCTGAGACCCAGGAGCCAAAGGGTGCCCCGCGTGCCCTCCCAGCAACCTTCTCTTCCTTCTCTTCTGAGACAACTCAGCCTTCCTGAGGCCTACTCCTGCAGGGCTGACCCTCAAATGAAGTACTATATGCTTGGCACTGTGTTTGTTCAGTGCTTTATATGTTTTATTTAAAATCTCAACAGTCCTATTGGATAGGTATTAATCCTCATTTTACAAGATGGGAAACTAAGGTCTAAACAGGTAACATCACCTGCCCAAGGCCACACAACTAACAAGTTGGTGGAGCCAAGATTCAACCCAGGCTTGCAGGAACCCTCTTCCCTGGACTGCCTTGATCCTGGGAGGGGATTTTAGGGTCAGCCCATGGAGGAGAAGGGGTTGGGTTGGGTTTGAGGGCAGAGGACAACCCTCTACCCAGGTCCAGCCTATAACCACCCCACCTATAGACCACCGATTCTGTTGGAGCTGCCCAAGGACAGGGGCTGAATCTGGGGCTCCTAAATCAGTGATGAGGGCCGAGGACTTCCGCATGGCCACCAGGGAGGAATAGCTCCTGGTCCTTGGGAGTTTACTGACCGCCTTGCCTTCCCCACCTGGGGCCATAGTCTGAGCAGCAGGACAGGTCCCCACACATGCTACGGCCTCTGCCTTGAACCCATGAGATGGTGGAGAGCAGGCAAGCAGGCAGCAGAGACACCCAGGAGGTTCAAATGACCCACTCAGCTGGATAGGACGGAACGAGAGCAGCTCGCTCAACAGAAGGCCCCAGGCTCGTCAGCCAGGAGCTCGCCAAACGGGTCCCTGAGAGGGTTGGGTGGGAGACGAGAAGTAAAGAAAAGAGAAACAAAAGCCAGGAGCAGGAAGGACTCAGGCTGTGGGTAACAGACTGAGACATAGTTTATTGAAAAAAGTCCAATTATATAGGCAGTAAGTTCCTCTTAGTAAAGGGGGTTTTGGTAGGGGGTAGCAGAAGTGGTGAGCAGATGTGGTGAGCAGATGTGGTGGGCTAGTAAGCAGATGCGGTGGGCTCTGTGGTGGGCTCTGCTGTGGGAATGGGTACCTTTGGGGGTGTCTTAAGCCTTGCATATGCAGTTACTAAGCAGACTCTCTTATCCAGTCGCTCCTCTAAGTATAGGGTCCTGCATAGAGGCACGTAGCAGTTTGCCACAGCCTCAGTATCCCCAATTGTCCTCAGCAGGCTCCCAACATCGGACCTTTATGAGGGACAAGGGACCCAGCCTCTGCACAAAGTGAATTTAGACGCTTCCCTACTCCCAACTACAGGGGGACAGAGAAGCCCAGGGAATCATTAGCTCCTCTGAGACTATCACAGCAATGTTCCAGCCCCTGAGACCAAGAGGTGGGAAGAGAGGGTCCACCCATGCTATATCATCCAATTTACCTCCCATTTTCCCAACATGCCCTGCACTCAGACCCCTGGGTCTGTAGGTCCCTCCCCCTGTTGATTCCACCTGTTGATCCCCCCACCTAGTCACCAATGCCCATTGTAAACGCCACCTTCTCTGGGCAACCTACCCTGATCTGATCTCTCACACCTGGTCATTCTCTCCCTCTCCTGAGGCCACTGGAGCTGTGAGGACCTCTCCTGCAACATTGAGGTCAATCTCCTTCACACTATAATTGTTTCTGGACTGCTGTCTCCTCTGACAAGCAGACCAAAGATAGGGTGGGCACTACAGCTCTGAGCATGGGTCCTCACACATACAAGGCATGAGACTCCTTAGATGTATGGAAGGATGAGTAGAAAGAAGGAAGAAGGGGAGGGAGGAAAGAAGGGAGGGAGAGAGGGAGGTGGGGAGGATGGGGAGATAAACATATGAACAGATGAGTGGGTAGGAGGGTGAATGGCCCACAGTTCAGTGTGGTCCCTGTAATTGGCCAAAATACCCAGACTCCCCCACTGCTCCAAGGAAATAAGGTTCCCCTGTTTCACTCGTCATAGCCCCTCCCCTGCCTCGATGAGTTTGAGATTTAGAAAGACTGCCCTGTGCGGAGGTGCAGAGGAAGCTGGGAGTCAGATCTGTGCTCCTTCCTTCCTTGGACCCCAGTCCCCCGTATATAACATGAGGACATTGGACAAGATGATTCCTTGGGTCCTTCCAGCTCAAAATACATTGTGCTGGGACCCAGCGGGGAATACAAAAGAACTGACAACCCAGTTCAGCTTAAAGGGAACTCTGGAAGAGTTTAGACAACAGAGGAAAGGAAGAAAACGGAAAGAAGGGAAGGAAGGGGACTGAAGGAAGGCAGGGAGGGAAGGAAGGAGAAAGAAAATTGATTTCCACATCCAAAATTAAAAATGTACTTAGCGGGCCAGCTGAGTGGTGCGATGGTTAAGAACTGGCTTGGGATGCCAGAGGGCCCCAGTTCGGATCCCACATATGAGGGCCAGTGATGCTGCCCTCTACAAAATAATAATAATAATAATAAAAATTAAAAATAAATAAAAATAAATAAAGTAAATAATAAACATTTTTTTAAATGCACTTAGCACATAAGATTTCCCAAATGCATCATTTCTTAAAAAAAAAAAGGTAATTTCAACATATTGAATTTAGGATCACAGCATGTAAGACGTGATGGGTCCTCTAACATAGATAGTGGACATGCCACAGGCAGGGATGGCCTGGGGAGGATGGATGCGCTGGGAGTGAGGGGGGGGTCTGTGGGTTGTGGGGGGACAGCTTTCTCTCCACCCTCTCCCGCACTTTAGCCAGTCCACCTCCTCTAGTATTTGTTTTATATGTTGATCTTATGAATCCAATATATTGTTTGAATAAAAGATTTTTGGTGTTTTCTTTAAAGCTGCTTAACTAACAAAGAGAAACAAGAGACCTAGAGGGAGGTGATTTGCCCAAGGTCATACAGCAAGATCATGGACACAACCCCCATGGGCCTGGCTAACAGAATGCCCGCAGTTCAGATGTAATGAATCCAAGCACCTCCACTGGGGGCTGGGAGGGGGCTGCCCCTGACTGGGCAGCTCGCACATCTGTTACCTGGCTCACCTCCAGCAGCCTCAGTGGGAAATCGCCAGGCTCCTTTAAACAACATTCCACCAGGACAGGAACAGAGGGATAGCCCAGGCCCAATTAGGAACCAGAAAATCTTGCAAGAGGGCAAGTGCCCAGAACAGGGGGGCTCGGGGCAGTGGCCCCGCTCTCCACAAGCCTCACAGTTGAAAACCTTCCTGAAGCAACACTTGGCTTCCATAACCCCTTGGCTGCTTCGGAGCATAATTTAATCTTTCTTTGATGACTCCAGATCTCACCCTGCCTGGGGCCACTCTGAGAACATCAAATACTGCAGGACCCAGGTGGCGAGCCAAGAGGGGCTGAACCTGGTTATCAGCTGACCCTGTCCTGGGGTGGGGGGGTGGGGGTTGCTGGAGGAGACTTCAGGGGGAGCTGGATGCTGCCTGGGGGCGGGGAGGAAAATGGGAAGCCCCTTTCCAACCAGGAACAGGAACCCTAGGTGAACCCCTCCCTTGCCCCAAAGCTGGCAGGTGGGATAGGGCAGCTCCGAAGTAGAAGCAGGTGAGCTCGCTGCAGGCAGGGGTGCTGTCAAAGGCCAGGCTGGTGACCTTGCTAAGGGAGAGGCAGTACAGTGCCCCTAGACTTGGTAGAAAATGTTGGCTTCAAGGGACAGAAGTGAGCTTAGGGCCACACTGCCCCTGCCCTGCCACTTCCTGGCTAGGGGACAGTGGGAAAGTTACTTAACCTCTCTGTGACTCATTCCCTAATTTATAATGCTAGTAACAGGGTTGCTGTGAGAGTAAAATGGGCCTCAAGTTTGTTGTTAGAGAACGGGGTCTTAAACCACAGCCTCTGGTGAGGAAAGGGCTAGAAGAACATACATCAGGACACTCCCAGGGTTGGCTCTTCAGTGAGACTGGATGTTGCTTTTCTTTGACTTGTTCGTATTTCCTATATTTTATGCATGAAACACATTATTATATAGTTAAAATAGTATTCAGGGGGAAAAAAATAAAACAATTGGGACTACGATCTGTCCCCAAAGGGCAGCAGCCAGTCAGAAGAGGGGCCTGTCTACTGGCAGTGGGCTAGAAGGGGGATGTTCCCTTGGGTCCAAAACTCAGACAGGAAAGCCCTGGCTGCCCCAGGGGTTTAGGGGGTGCCCGTCCTGAGCCCCCAGGGACAGGTGCAAGTGACATTTTCTGCCTTGGCGTGCCCTCTCTTTTCCTGGGGGGCAAGTCTCCAGGTTCCTTCTCAGGAGGCACAAGGCAGGAGAAGTTGGTGCCCTGGAGAACGTTGTCTGTTCATGGGCAGGAGCACCCCTCCTAGCTATCCTCAGAACATCAGCTCAGAGATGATTCTGGGCCCTCCGACGCAGTCAGACCCCCTCCCGGATTCCTTCTTCTGTGAGCCTGTGGGAACCACCCATCCCTCTGTCCAGCCAGCAGCTGTGCCAGGCTCAGCCACAGCACCACCCAGCCTTTGCTGAGGCAGCCCTTTGAGGAAAGCTAGGCTTGATGGGTCCACAGCACACTCCCTGCTGGCCGTTAATCCTCAGAAGAAAGTTAAACATTAGCCTGGGAAACAGCTTACGCCTTATGTAAGCCCCCCTGGGGAAGGCAAAAACACAACTTGTTGGAGCCGAGCTGCCCAACTATAGCAGCTGCTAGACCCTGGACAGAGCAAGGGCTTCAGCCACCTCGACCACCAGCCCCACCGGAGGGAGCCAGGCCCAGCCATCAGGTGAGAGGGATGGAGGCCCCCCGCCCCTGAGCCACGATCCCCAGGAGCCCCTGGGAAGCCTCCAAAGCCAGGGCCTGCTTCCTCACTGCAACGCTCCAAGTCCCTAATGCCCTCTGAGACCTGCCTGGGCCCTTTCTGCTACCCCCGTATAGTGGACCTAACCCCAGGGGACAGCCAAAAGCCAGGAGGCTCTGGGCTTGGGGAGGTCTTTCCCAGCAGGCAACCTGAGCCAATGCTGTATGCCTGCTCAGGACAACCAGGGACCTCCCAAACCCATCCCCACCATCCATCCTGTGTGGCCAGTGTCCAAGACTGGGCCCCTTGGTCCCAGCTGTGTGGCCTGCACTGCCCCATGCATGCAACACGTGTGACCGGCCTGGCTGGAGCACACACGTACTCACGCCCACAAATACACACACACACACACACACACAGCAATGCCCTCGTGCTCCAGCCTAAATATACACATCCCTGTAGACCCCCTGTGGGACACACCTGTGACCCCACATCGATACCTGCAGTTGGGTGCCTCCTCACGCAGCCACACATAAATCTGTGCACACACACAGCTGAGCCCCTACATCCTTACGCATCTATACATACAATACTCCACACACTTGCATTCCCACACACACCTGGCACCCCCTCTCATTTGTGCTTGCACACCCATCCACATGCCCACACGTCACACACGCGCGCGCGCGCGCACACACACACACACATACCTCTCCCCGGCCTGGTGCCTTGCCTGCAGCTCTGGACCATCTTGCCCGGCGCCATGACCTTCTCCAAGCTCATAGACAACGTGAACAGCAAGGGCCCCTTCCAGTTCCTCGTCACGGCCCTGCTAGCCATCCCCATCCTGGGCATGGCCAACCACTACCTGCTGCAGATCTTCACGGCAGCGACCCCCGCCCACCACTGCCGCCCACCCCCCAACGCCTCCGCAGGGCCCTGGCTACTCCCCACGGGCCTGAACGGGAAGCCTGAACCGTGCCTTCGCTTCATATACCCACCCAACGCCAGCCTGCCCAACGACACCCAGGGGGCCACCGAGCCATGCCTGGATGGCTGGGTCTACAACATCAGCACCAGGGATTCCATTGTGACTGAGGTACGCCCAGAGGCAACCCCGCTCCCTCCGCTTCCTGCAGGCCCCCCTACACCCTACAGCACTCATGGACAGGAGAGCAGGCTGGGGCCCAGTCTCCTAGGACCGGGGAGGGGGGGGGCGGACAGGGCACTGGGCAGGCAGAGAGCAAGGACCGGGGTGCAGATGCACCCCAGCCACCCGGAGTACAAGCAGCCAGTTGTGTGATGGGCATACTGCTCAGCTCTGAGGATACAAAAACGCACGTCCCTGATCCACAGCCGAGTGGGGGCCACATCAACTAGTGTAAGTACCGCACAAAGATGTGAAATGACAACTTCAAAGTACTTTGGTCTGTAACCTTAGCCTATGGCCTACCCCTGGGCTGAGTGCGGGGCGCGGGGGGCGGCATTGGAGGAAGCTTCCATAAAGAAGTGATCCTAAAGCTGAAATGAGAATGTCTGGTGTCTGGCAAGAGTTAGCCAGGCTAGGAGGGAAAGGAGGAGAAGTCCATCTTGTCTGTGCAAAGGCCCCAGGGTGGGAGGTGAGTGGAGGAGGGAGTGGACAGAGTGGAGGGTTGAAACATGCCTGATCAGACCCAGAAAACATCTCATCCACTCCCCCAGTCACTCTTGGATTCACCCCCATTCATTCATGCCTTCATCATTCCCTGATTCCTTCGCCTGCCATTTCTGGGAGTTACAGAGTTAAATCAGACTCTCGAATGAACTGACAGGCCAGTCAGGAGACCACTATAGGATGAGGAGGAGGAAATGGAAACTGGCATTTATTGAGGGTCTACAAACTGCCAGGCACATTTTGGTGCTTTCCAGACATTGTCTCCCAATTTGATTCTCACAGTGATAGTCTGTTGAAGGTGATGTTATCGCCTTTTACAAAGCAAAAAAAAACTAAGACTCAGAGCAGGGAAATGAAGGTCCAGTGAAACTGACAGCTGGTCAGTTTCAAAACTGGAATTTCAAGCTAAAGCCCATAAGAGGCGCCGCGGGACAAGTGTTTATGGCAGTTCAACGAGGGAGGAGACATAAGATGCTAGGGCGGCTTCCTAGAAGAGGTGGCATCTGAGCAGCGAGCAGCGGCCAACGTTTTCATTCTCCCCTAGCGGACCATAAACTCCTCAAAGGCAGGATCTTGCCTTTGCCTCATTAGAAGAGCTGTGTTTCAAAGCCTTTACCGATGCCAGTCCTGCACTGGGCACATTGTGTCTGTGGGCTCCTGGAATCTCAGGAGATGGCACCTCAGCGAGGGAAGGATTATTAATATCACAGGCAAGGAAACTCAGGTTCAGCCTGGCTCCACAACTTTCCCAGGATTATACACAGGTAGTACCTGGCAGAGGTGGGTGGGATCTGAACCCAGGACTCCCTATGTTCAGAGTCTATATGATTGTTTTTCATTTGTTTAAGGCATAGCAATTGATATATAAAGCACTTGCTATATGCCAGGCACTGTTCTAAGTGTTTTATAAATACTAACACTTTCAACTTTCCTGACAACACTATAAGTAGTTAGTATTATAAGCCCATTTTGCGGGGGGAGGGAGGGACTGAAGCACAGAGAAGTTAAGGAGCTTGTACAAGGTCGTGCCACTAGCAAGTGGCAGATTCAGGATCCGAATGCAGGCACCTGGCCCCAGAGCCATGCTCCTAACTATGACAGTCGCTGACTCTCATGTCCCCTAGATTATATTCCCTCCTTGTCATATGCATTTTTTCTTCCCAGCACCAAGCATAATGCCTGAAAAGCATCTAGTAGCCAACAAATATTTATGGACAGCTACATGCACATGATTTTGAGGACGCAGAGTCACAGAACACCTGAGCCCTGCCTGCCCTCCAGCTCACCTCTAAGGAGGAGATGGGCCCAGCCCTCAAGGATTACCACCACTGGAGTGGGACTCCCAAGCTTCCCGAGGCAGGGATTTCTAGCTGCTTTGCTATATCCCCAACAGCTAGAGCTATGCCTGGCACAGAGGAGGCGCTCTGTGAAATAAAGATTCGTGGAGTGAATCGATAGGAGCTTTATAAACTCAGAGTGCTCTTGGAGCCCAGAGGAGGGGCAGCTAACCAGCTTGGAGGGGGCAGCCAAGAGGGTCTCCTGGAGGCAGCAACACCTGCACTGAGTGTGAAGGAGGGGTGAGAGTTAGCCAGCAGACTGAAGTGGGCAAGAGGAACTGTGTGTGGAGTCAAATGCACAGTCACAGAGGCATGAAGAAAGCAAAACAGTCAGGGCTGTGAGAGACCAATGAAGGTTGGAGGGGCGAGCAGTGGAGTATGAAGGCTTCTGGACAGCGGTCTGGAGGCTAACTCAAAGGGGTGGCCTCTGTCCCGAGGTGACAGGGACCATTGAATGGTGTTAAGCAGGAGAGTAGTGCCCTCAGCTCGCCTCCTAAGGATGGTCACTCTGACTTCAGGGTGGAGAGTGGCTTGTGGCGAGTTTGGGTCCAGTTGCAAAAGGACCTGTTAGCAGGGTGCCACAGGGCTCCCGGAGAAGGATGATGGATGGAAAGGGCAGTAGATACAGGAGAGACTGGGGAGTTAGAATCAATGAGACTTGGGAATTGAATGGATTTCAGGGGTTGAAGGAACAGGGAGGAGTCGAAGATGCCTCACTGCCTGTAAATAAGTTTCCAAACGCTTGGGCGACTTGCTATACACCTGGTCCCTGGGAAGACAGGAGGAGTAAAAGCCACCATCCATGTCCTCCAAAAACACAGAACCTAGCCAAAGGAACAAACAATTTTAAGCAACTGTTTGATTGCTTAAAAATTAAATAATTATCATTGCCACCACTTCCCGAGTGCTTACCCTATGCCAAATAGTCTTAAGAACTTTGCACGTGTTAACTCATTTAATCCTCACAACAACCCTCTGAGGTGAGCACCTTTATTATCCTAGTTTTACAGGTGAGGGAACCAAGGGACAGGTCCCTGGCTCAAGGCACCACATTTCATACATGAGAGTCAAACCCAGGCAGTCAGGCTCCACAGCCCCACCCCTCGCCCCTGCTCTTAAGACTGCGTAACCGGACCCACCATCAATGGGATTTCAGCTGTCATACCTCTTCCCACCTCTCCCCACGGCTTTACCTCACTCTGCGGCCCCCGCCTTGCCCTCCTCTCTTAGAAACAGCACAAGTCTGAGTGCAGGTCCCAGCTCCAACTCCATAGCCGCCAGTGACCTGGTGAGTCACCTCCCCTCTCCACTTTAGTCCCCTCATTTGTAAAATGGAATAATAAGGAACTCCCGCAGGAGAGAAGGGACAAAGGTGAGAGTGAGCACTGCACCAGGGGGTTCTCCTTCCCCCTCTAGCCCCTAAGCTCTCCTCACAGAGGTGATCACGCATTCCTTTCTCTGGGTTCACCAGAGACAAGGTTGGAATTTTTCAGAAGGAGCTTTACTAAGACCTTAAGAGGAAACAAAGGCCTTTCGTGTAAGTCTGGAGAGAGTGGGGCGCACGGATTGTGAATTAAGGCCATGCCCCCTCAGGACCAGGCAGGAGACACGTGGCCATTGCTGACTGCTCAGAAGCAGGGCACAGGGAGCCTCGCCAGGAACAGAGGCTGCAGAACTTGTACCTGGTCTTGCATTAATTCACATCCTTGCCAACCAAGTTCCCAGTCTTAGCTGGCTTCCCTGTGGGCTCTGGATTCCCTGGACAGAAGCCATAGCCATAGCTCCCACCCATTGAACCTCAGCCTGGGCCTGACCTTGCATGAACAGGCCCTTCCCTCTAAGTTCCCTGCGATTCCTCTCTGGGTCTTGAGCCTTCCTGTTCTGTCTCCAGGGCCACAAGAATCCTGTCCCCCTACATGGGTCCCCGGAGGCTCCAAGTCAGCTGCTGGAGAAGCCGAGAGCCTTCCCAGCGGACCCTCTGGAAGCAGGTCTCCACTCTGGGGAGGTTCCCCTGATGAGTGTCTGGCCTTCCTCCATCCCTACCCCCAGGTCCCCAGGCTGCCTGACTCCCAACCCACCTGCCCGCCTCGTCTCCAGCTCTAGTCCTGGGCACATCCCCACTGCTCACCGTCAACCCCGCCCTGGGGACTCCTATCATCTCCCCTTTCCTCGTCTCCCATCTGACTCCTGGGTGAGGACCAAGGAGCTCCACCCCAGCCATGTTTCTGGCCCAGCCTAACCCCCAGTGACAGCCCTCACTTAGAAAGCCATAGTCATGTGCAAGAGGGGCCTGGGGCCATCCTCGGGGCCCTCCATGGTCAGGAACTTACTCGGTGAGCACCTACTGTGTGCATGGCCCTGGGCTAGTGCTTTGCACTTCGTTCATGAGCCTGTAAATATTGTCCCTATTCTACAGAGGAATACACTTGGGCTCAGATCCAAAAGGGGACCCTCTCAGCCATGATGGTGAAGTCAAGCTTTTATAGGAGGAGGGACGGGAGTCCTAACTCCAGAATCCATGCCCTTTCTACTGTGTCACATGTCCCTGTGAGCACAGGCCTCACAATGCATGTGACAATAAAACAGCTATCGTGTGTTGAATGCGGATTATTTGCGAAGGTACTAGTATTATCCCCATAGTACAGATGAGGAGACTGAGTCACAGAGACATTAAGTAACTGGCCCAGGAACACACAGCCATTAAGTAGCAGAGCTAGAGACTCATTCCCAGGTCCCTGGTTCATCCTCTCTGGCCCGTGTGCCCAGCACAGGTTCCTTCGGGGCTCCGAGAGTTGGCGGGGGCTGCAGGAATTCTCCCCAAGGTCTGACCTGATTCTAAAAGCCCCAAAGCTAGAGAAGGTTGTTGCCTTTGTCCTTGTTCTGGGAGGTATGGACCATGGGTGGGGCCCTAGCAGAGTGAGTCCCCCGCCCCCACAACACACCGCATAGCAGGGCCCCATCCTGCTGACCATGGTCTTGATCATGAATGGCTCACCCTGGTCTTGGATGGCCGGCTTTCCGCTTTCCCTCTGAGGGGCCTCCTGGCCTCTGATCTTGCTGTTGCTCCAGCTCCTAAGCCTGTCCCTCCCGCTCTGGGCCTGATTTCAGACCAGCCCACCTGGCTCTGGTCCTGGCTGCCTCTTCAGCCACGATTCCTGTTTTATAAGGGCTCACAGCAACAGCTCCTACATGCTGAGTCTTCCCTCCTGCAGCCCAGAGCTCAGAGCTAAGCACAAGTGAGGCACCGGCGAGCCATGGTCAAGGGCATTAGTTGGGGCTCCAGCAGACCTGAGTTTGAGCCTCTGCCTTGAGACGAACCAAGCTTTGCTTAGGCCAGTTATTTACCTTCTCTGCCTCAGTTTCTTTGTCTGTAAAATGGAGGCAATAATAGTACCTACTTCATAAAGTTATTACAGCATCATTTGCAAAGCTTGCTTCTGAGCATTGCAGACCCCGTTTTTCTCCCCTACCACATTCCTGGGGTATCAGCTCACTGGGGAGACATGGCAGTGGGCTTCCTCTCCTTCCCTTCCAGAACCCAGCTCCCTAGGGGCTCAGTAAACAGTGCAAGAGAGTAAAAGGAGGCTAATAACTTTGGACTAGGATGTTGTGAGCAAGAACTCTGTGTGGAGTTGCCAAAACTTGATGGGGAAGAGGTCAGCCCAGGCCATACCAAGGCCTAGATGGAAGCACCAGGAAGCTCCCTCCGACCAGCAAGATATTTTTCCTGGGCCTCATCAGTAAAATATGGATAGTCACCCCAACCCTGTTCACTCATTAATAATCCATTGAGCAAACATTAACATTGACCATGTACAAACTATTCTGTTAGCTGCTAGGGAGAAAGAGTCAAAGGAGATGTCTCTGCCTTCAGCAAAGTTACAGGATACCAGACAGACAAGTAAATAAGCAGCTAGAATGCTATGTAATATGTATCCTCTTGGACGTAAGAGGATGCTGAGTGTGGAGGGAGAAATGAAGAACGACAGTGGGCATCTGGACGTGCTTCTCAGCCACTTATCCATTCCACAAATATTTACTGACCACCTGCTTGTGCCAAACACCCAGAAACGATGTTCCTGGCACTCAGAAAAGATAACCTTGACATGAGTTTAGAAGGACTGGCAACGTTACTAGAATAAGGAAATGATGACAAGTACAAAAGCAAAGAGAAGCATAGTGGCATGAAGCTTTTATAGAATCACTAGTGTAACCCGATTAAAACCACAGACCCCACGTGGCCCAGCCTACGCGCAGAGTCAAAGGAGACATTAACCACCCTATCAACACCTTGAAGAATAACTGAGCCTTCAGCTAGAGGTTTTCTTACTAAGGCCTTCTCAAGGGTTTTGCACAGCTGACCACACAGAATGCCACCAAAAATCTCCCTGAATATCTTTCCTTCCCCACCCTCTCCGCCCAAATTCCAGGACGCCTTTAAAATTCTCTCTGTATGGGATTCTCTCATGGCCATGCTCTCTATTTCCAATCCCTTCCCATCACCACCCACCAAGCCAGCAGGTACTTTAAACACACATACAGGAAACACAGGATATGCGTTTCCTAGGGCTTCTATGGCAAAGCTCCACACGCTGGGGGGCTTATAACAACAGAAATATATTGTCTCACAGGCCTGGAGGCTAGAA